ATATGGTTACTTCTGCAGGTTCTTTCGCATTATTCATGGGAATCGGTTCGGTTATTCGCTCTGAAGAACAACCCAAAAGCATCATGTGGAAACAACATTTAGAACAGCATCAGAAGTATTCACGTGGCTTCGCAAATTTGCCGGTTGAGGTTCTAGAGAGGAAGAGGTGGGATAGAAGAATTGTGGGGATGTGATGCGAAGAAAAAAGTGCGTAGAAGTGAACTTGGTTGCTCACGATAAACTCTTTGCTCAATGCATTTTTTGCAAAAAAACTAAATAATTTGTATGTTTCTTTTATTTGTATACCAAAAAGAACATTCTCCATTCTTTTGGATGGATTCGAACTGTACATTTTCTTTACAATCTTGTGCATACCTTCCCATAATATTTCACGTTGAATAAACCAAAAAAGCTACAATTATTTGTGTGAGTTTTGTTATGCAATGCACGTTTTTAAGGTGAATGCAATCAATCGACGACATCAAAAAAATATGTGATCGACGGCATGTCTTTTTGAATTTCATAGCATATACGTGCATATCGTGTCTTGACATTTTAATAGTGAAAATGGCGTTCAAGAAAAAAAAAGATCCTATAGTACATCTCACTTCAGGGGCGATATCTGGCTTGTCTTCCTGCATTTTGTTGCAGCCATTTGACCTTGTCAAAACGCGTTTGCAACAGCAAAGACAGCAACATTCAAAACTTTTAGTATCCCCAATGAATAGGTAGAATATTTTTTTTCGACCAGACTCATTCGCCAGCGGGCTATCAATTTGTACGAGCAATAACGTGTTTTTGCATGTAGTACTATTGCTGATACCGTTAAAGAAGTTATTCGCAAAGAAACTGTATTTGGATTGTGGCGAGGAACCGTGCCTACCATTATTCGGTAAGCGATTTAATTATAAATTCGCGAAATCATTTGGTAATCGTAATTATATATATCAATTCAAAACCAGTAACGTTCCAGGTTCAGCGCTATATTTCCTCACCTTATCCGAAATTCGTTTTCTTCTTTCACAACGAAATCAATCAAAATCAACTTTAAAATCTTCATCGTCGCTGCCAATATTATCGGATAAGGAAAATTTATTTGCTGGTATGATAGCCAGAGGATCTGTTGGATTTGTCATGATGCCAATTACTATAGTCAAAGTTAGATATGAGGTGATGTATGAATAATACATTTTAATCATAATTGAAGTAATCATATCTAACTTTTAATTCTGTTTCCCAACCATTGCAGAGTAATCTTTACAATTACAAAAGTACTTGGGAGGCCTTATCTTCAATTATTAAAAATGAAGGAATCAAAGGTATACTAAATATTATATATCGCCATTATCGTTAGGTTAAAGGGTAAATAAAAATGACTTATTTATTTTGGATCTCTTGAACTAGGGATGTTTTACGGATCAGGCATAACAGCTATAAGAGATGCACCCTATGCCGGATTATATGTCTTATTTTATGAACGTTGGAAATTATCTATATCTGGTATGTGTTGTGATGAAATTTTTCTTAAAATCATTTGCTTGCACTTATTTTAATGTGAGTAATTATTATTCTACTCAATAGCGAACACTTCATCCATTTCGCCGCCAATTATTCACATGACTTCTGGTAATTATCTCACATTTCAAAATCGGTTGAGCGTGGTACACGCCTGTTCGATCATTTCTTAGATATTGCTTCTGTTGATATTACAATTTTAACAATAAAAATCGTGGATTAGCTATGATTGCGGGCCTCTCTGCTACAACTGTGACTCATCCATTTGATATGCTAAAGACGCGTGTTCAATTAAAACCACTCGAATATCCAAATTTATGGCGTGCTTCTCTGAAGATATTACGCGTAAGTTTTTATTTAATGTTTCTAATGTTCTTCACAATCTTTTCTCACATCGCTATTCATGTTATTCACAAATTTAAGGAGGAAGGTTTTCTTGGTTACTTTGATGGACTGACTCTACGCTTAGGCAGGAAATCAATGCAAGCCGCGATTAGTTGGACAATGTATGAGACATTGGTAACTTGGTTTCAGGATATCAGGTCATAAATAAAATAATGATTTCTAGAAGAAATTTGTAATGATATTTTGCAACTCGCAAGTGAATTAAATGTAAACTTCATGACCAGATGAAATTTAATTGACTCTTTATTATAAAGTGAACTTAAAATTATTGACTAATTGTAAATGAAAAACTTGATATATATGTATATTACAAAGCTGGCATATGTTTCATTTATTTAATGTGAAACCAGATGTTGATATACATAGAGATGTATGCAAGTACAATTTGTTGTCTAAAAAATATATTACTAAAGTAAATTTGCTAAGTCAAAGACTAATATTTCATTCAGCTTGTTGCCACTTTTGATTTTACATAATTCTTTAATATTATTCTTTATATATTATTTTCAGTTTCAAAAAATCCAAATTATTTAGCAAGTGATTTCATAATTGCTTAAATTTCCATGTTTTAATTCTAGTATTTCAGTTTGAACTGCAGATTTTATTTGTTTTAGTTATATCTATTTTGAAAAATATTAATGTTGAATTTATCTAGAAAGAGATTAATACTAATTCAAATTATATATATATTGTAATCAAATAAGTATATATGAAGTTTATTTAATCACATCCTGATTTGTCATTTTTATTAGTAGATCCTGAGTTCAGCTTAGTTTGGACTTTGTTAGTTCTTTCATCATTCTTTGTTATTTTACTATTTGTATCTTGCTTTTTATTATCAAAGTCAAAGAATGACATTCATATGTTTTAATGTTTAAGGATATGTTATTGTTTTTGTTCCTTTTCAGATTCTGTTTTGTAAATTTTGATCTTGATCATTATTGGCTCTATGTTATTTTCACCTTTTGTTTTTCTTAGGTTTGCCTTATAATGAATTGTTTGCTTCTGCTTTAAATCTCTCTTGCCTTTGTCCTTCATCCAGCTTTTTCTATAGTCTTGAAATATTAGATCTTACTAACTTATTAAATTAATTCTTGAATTTTGTTTGCTAATCTTTATGTTTTTTTGATTTTCTTTGTTTTCTACTTCCTTTAATTACCTTAAACCTTTTGTTCTCTTTAACATGACCAACTTTCTTTATTGCTTCATTTAACATAACATCTTTCTCTTTAATAAGTACTATTGCAATTCTCTTTCTTAATTTTTCTACAAATATTTTCACCTTATTCCTTTCAAATTCACTGTTATATGGTTGATTCTTCTCATTAAATTCCAAAATCTACAAGTATATGTTGCCACCTTTTTATTTTTTTCTTGTTTTAGTCTCACTAATTCCAATTGTCATTATTGTTGTTACTTGGGTATCATGAAAAATTAGAGAAAACTTGATACAAAGCTTTTCTTATATTTGTTTCTATTATTTCAATAGCTAAAGCAATTTTGGCCAACTTCATACTAAACCATTATATGTATCTTCAGGTAATTAGATACTTATATTAATTTTTTATTATTTAAATCCTCTTATATAAGTCTAATCATTAATATAGATCTTCTCTCTTTTTCTTAAATCTGCAAGCTTAATTTTTGTATTTTGGTTCACAAGATTAATAAAAACTTTCACTAATTCTTGCAGCACATCTTATAGATGAAAATAAGTTTGAGAAACTTTATCTGAATTACTTCTATTGTCATGTGAATCAATATAGTATCTAATATCTTTTTTTTAAAAAAAAAATCTGATCACAAGTTTTGTATAAATTTGTTACAAGTAATTCAAAAATATAATTATTATTTTTAATTAGTTATTGCTAAATTTTTATTGGGAATAATAAATGTTTTTTTTTTTTTTTTTTTTTTTTTTATAAAAAAGTTTTAAATTTAATTCTTTTTTTTGATGTTTTTTTTTTTTTTT